CCGGCCCGGCTACCCAGAGCCGGGGGGCTGCACGGGGGAGCGGGGACAGCCGTCCCCAGGCGGCAGAAATAAGCCCTTGCTTCACCCGCCCAGGCTGGGGAGTGACATGGTCAAGTTGTTCTCTGCGAGGGTTGCCCCTGCTCTTCTCTCCAGGGCCCCGTGCGGCGGCAGGGGGCTAGCTGTGATGCCTTACAGCAACCCCAGGCTATGGGCACAGGAAAGCCGGGGGGCCCTTCTGCTCCCCGGCTCCCTGCAGACACACAGGGGAAGTCTGGTTTTCATGCTGGAGAGCAGCAGCTCCATCCTGGATGGAGAGTTAGATGAGTGGGGCGGTGTGAGCCCAGCCCCAGGAATACTCCTCACAGAGCGAGGGTACGAGGGTGCTGTAAGGGTTGGTAATGTGGTGTGTAACACTGTAACCATGGAGCATGGCCTTGAACAGGCCTACTAGGAGTCCCTCCTGGTGACAGTTCCTGGGTCCCTGACCTTAATAGGCTCTGCTTAGCATGTAGTGCATCCTCGCTTGCAGCCTGCTCACAGCAAAAGCGTAACAGAACAGGTGCCATGATCTACCCATCCCCTGAATGGGAGGAGCAATCTACAGCAAAGCAATTCTGTATCCTATTTGGAGTCCCTCGAGCCACCCAGACAACTTATAAAAGGCCTGCAGAAGCAGGGAAGCTGGCACCCCTGCCTTTTCTCACAGCGAACACAAGTGCAGGGCTAGCATGGCACAGCACCAGCTGTTGTAACTGCACCAGCTACCCTACATATTTGCAGCAATTGCTTCTTAAGGCAAGAGCTAGGTGCTCCATTTCTATGGCCCATTCTCCAGCATGCCCTATGGCAAAACAGTCAGGAAAGTTACCAGGAACTGACTGATGCAGTCCCAGCCACTTTGAACTCACTAGAAGCCTCCGACTCATTTCACAGAGGTACTAGCCAGCAGTGATAACAAACGGTTTTTAGCCGCTACCAGCTGCGCTCTAGAGAGAAAATTTCAGTGTCTAGGTAAATTGCTCCTCTTACCTGTTACCTGTCCCTTGGGGCCAACAGAGCCTCGCGTCCCAACTTTCCTCTGGGAAAAGTTCTGAAACATCGAGGAGGTCTCAGCTTGTGTACAAATTCCAAAGCAGCACAGGCTGCTTAACATATCAATTCTCTCTTCTCAGCCAGCACGCCTGTAACGAGATAAGGAAAAAGCACTGATAACCTGCTGACTGTGGAAAAGAACATCTTAGTTTCAGAGGAAAGAGACTCAGTTCAGCTCCAGTTAGCAAAGTATTCTTCTTGAAGGACTACAACAGGCACAGAATCCAAGCCAAAAAAACCTTTTTGCCTTTCTAATAGTTCGTTCTTAAAGGAAGGCAGCAGCAGGAGACTAACGTTTACATCTGTTAAACCACATTCATTGAGTGTGTTCTGTATTCACACTGTAATTCTCAACTCATTTTTCCCCCCAGGTCATATCAAATTAAAATCATGATCCAATCTTAAGACTCTCAGTCACCCATATATTGTTCTAGAGACTTCTGGTTTCATTACTGCATGAATACAGCAGAACAGGTAACAGTGTATAATATCAGATCACTAGCCTAGCTAGTCTAGCATCCTGCTTCTAAGAGAGGAGAACAAAATACCACATCAAAGCAAATATCTTCCATATAGAGAGGCAATCATATATATCACGTTAGGCAAGAATTGCTCTGACCCCTCACTGATAATCAAGGAACACCCCAAAGCTGACAAGTGAAAAAGCTCTTACCCTTCTTCTAAGCCTGACAAATGTCACTTAAGATTCATATAGTTATATAAAGTCAAATTTCCAAGGCCTTTATTCATTTTTTATTCCGGCACTGGAGCCATTCATTTTCTCTCTAATGGTCTGTAAGATATGATCTATAAACCACAGTCAGCTTAAACTACCAGGTATGACTGCTTTCCTCTACTTGAGCTCTCTGGGTTCAAGGGCTGGAATAGGCACATTCCAGGACCCAGTTGTTTGTCCCAGGACAGATGAGAAGCTGAAAGGCTCCCTAGAGCAGAGAACAGCAGAACCTGCCATCCCACCAGCAAACACCTCAGAGCTCTACATGAACTCACGCAATCCCACCAAGCTGCAAAACAACAGCAGTGACCACAGCCTGGCGGGTTCAGCGCTAGGCTGCTTAACCTGTTCCTGGGTCAATGCCGCCAGTGGCAAGTGGCAAAAGCAAATGCCAATGATGCTTTGTCATAGCACCTGTGATATGAGAGAAACTAACACTATAATTCCTTGCATGAACTCTGCTTCAACCACCTTTGCCTTCATATTTTGCAGCAGATACCGCAGAGCAACTAGTTCTTTCCTGCTTTGTATTTCATATAACCAGAACAGCCAGGAAAACCAAGTTCCGGTACACCTAATTCTTTCTCAGGTCAAGTTATACATACTTGCTCCCAGTGCTTTCTCATATTGAGTGGCTACAAGCATTTCTGAGCTCCAATTGCTTAGCCAGGCAGGCTCAGTAGAAACTCCTAGACTCAAGTTCCTTTCCATCTAGCCTTGCACACCTTTGCACTGGTAAAGTACCATGGCCTCTCTCTTGCTCCACAACCACAATGCCAGGAGCCACCGACTGACAGTTCACAAGTTCTCCATTGATTCATAGCATCCAGCATCTTCTGCAAGTGAGAGACATGGCAACACAGTGCTGCAACCACAGACAGGCAACTTAGTGGAGCCCCACAGCTAAAGAAGCCCTTGCAGAAAGTAGGACTGCAACCTACTGCCTCAAGTCTTCCCCATATGTATTCCTATGTGATCTCTGCCTCCAGGATGAGACCTGACATGCTAGATAGGTTCCCAGTATGTGATAGGTCATGATGCTGCATCGCATACTGGAAAGGAAGCTCTCAGAGATCTGGAGATGTTGTTCCTCAGCATGCATAAGAGTTGCAGAATATTATCAGCGTGACTTCCACCCAAGGATAGCAAACTATTTTCTAGTGGCAAGAAGTAGTATTATCCCCAAAGGAGAAAATTAAGACAGGAAAGATTATTTGACTTTCTAAACATCACAGAGGAAAGCTGTGGAAGATCCAGGAATTGAAGATATATCTCCTGGCTCCTAGCTGCATGCTCCCAGACTACCCCAGAATGTAATCTAGCCTGTTACTATATCACACTGGTGGAGCTATGCAAAATTCAGTGGTTTCACTTCCCAAGCTTCTCATGTGATCTCTTTGCTTTGCTTTTGGTTCCTGTGGGTTTCTCACCCCTGGAGTTTTGATCTGACTAGTAGGTTCAAACCAAATCCAAATCTCAAAACCAGACAAAGGGGCCAAGTTTTCTCAGGTCATATGATAAAAATATGAAAAATGTATTGCTAAATATTTATGGTAAGCTGCTTGAGCATTGCTCTAAGATCTGTTTAAACTCCTCACAGCTGGGCCAGGAGTAAAGGGGAGGCAAATGGCAAGAATCCATGCAAGCACACATGGCATTGCAATGACGGATAGGGCAAGAGGCTGTGAGCTGAGCCAGGATCTCAGCTCACTTCCATGATACCCCACATCTTGCTGCCTGTTACTGTCATGGGTAAGGCACTCCCAGAAAATTGCCTTCACTCTTGGTGTGCCATGTCTTTTCCCCTCAGAGGAGCTCCTCTCTGGGAGTCCTGGCCAAAAAGTATGACAGGGAAGATGGGCAGGGGGTGCAGACAGTGCAGCTAGGATTCATTTAAGGCACAGATCCTTGAGTTCTGTCTCCCACTGTGCCTGAGGGACAGTCTAATAATACCTTCTGCAGCTTATCCTCCCCTGGGTGTACCACTGACACCATGAGATACAAGAACAGGAATGCGTGTAGGTACAGAAGGCCCTATTAGGCAAGCCTGGCCAAGTCTTCTTGTAAGAGAAGAGATGCTGTTTTCACCCTTGGAAATCACATGGAGATTTGCGCAGCCCATCACACACATGAAACTAGTCTTCCGCCTCTCTTCACCACATCCTGCCCTGTGCCATAACTGCTCCATCTGTGCAGACTGTGGTCTGAACACCCCAAAGTTAAAGTCAAAAAAACTCTCTGGGCGAGAAGTTCAAGTGCCATCTACTGGGGATCTCCCCTCATTACACCAAGGGAGACTGAAGGATGAGCAGCTGGAAAAACGCCTTCCACCCTCTCTCGTGTACGACCTGAACCGGCTGAACGTCCGGGAAGGACATCAGAGCTGCAGTCAGTGCCAAGTATGGGGAGAACGTCCCTATGGTTTGCCAAGTACAATGTTAAGAGAGAACGGCAAGGCAGAAGCAGGATGAAAGCTGAGCCTAGAGATCGCTTGGAGAGACATGTGGACCAAAAGTCAGACACACCTTGAGCTATGCTACAGAGCGGATCCATCTACCAGCTGTCTCAGCCACAGCCCCGTGTACCTGTAAATAGAAAGATAGTTCACGAAAATAACGAGAATGGTTCCCAGAACAGTATGACTGGCAGAAGAAAGGCAGCTACAGCATGCGTTCAGCGTGGCAAAGGGCACTGGACTCATCAGTGATCATTTATGGTACCACAGGCAATTTCTCCTCCCTGTGCATGAATTGCTTTGCCTATAGGCTCCTCCAGAAGGGATCATCTCCAGCTTTGCCTTTGTGCAATGTTTGGCCTAACAGTAGCCATTCTGAGTCCTCTACAGGACCAACAGTAAATTCCCCCTTGACTCTGCTGCAAGAATGAAGTTGCAGGGCATGCAAGCACTCCCCAAGTTCTGGCAGCGTGGTCTGCATACCAAAAGTGTAGGGTAAGTAGTTCAAAAACATCCCCCACAAGCAGTTGCAAAGGAGCCCTTCACTAGGGCTGTTGGCACTCAACAGTGGAAATCGAATACTGTCCCCTTAACAGCTAAAAACCCAACAGCA